ATAGTGTGGTTTCATGTAAGAAGGTGCTCTTCTGTAGATAGTATTTAGCATCTTCACTACAGAAATGAGTTCAATGTCTTTGGAACAGAATCCTGAAAGCGCCTATTTGAGTGGAATGAGCTGAATTGTCCTATCACATGGAGCAAGTGATGGTTAGTACATTACCCGGTGGTGTGGCTACTTTCAGGCTTTGAAAATACAGCCTTTAGGGCAGTTTGTCTAACTGTGGTAACAGCAGAAGTCAGGACAGCTATCTAAAAGCTCAGTCTTTCAGTATTTCACAGAGGTTTTTATTTTGGAGTCATCATTGTTATCCCAGAGATCATTATTTCATTGTAACAGAGTTTCACATCAGAAAATCTGGAAGATGGTGCTTCAAGGAGTTATTGCCTTGGCGAGTCATGAACAGATGTTTCGGATCAAAGCTGGTGAGTGTGCTGTGCGGAGACACCAGTCAAATTCCATGTTAACAGGCTATTAAAGGAACAATAGAAGAAGGACCTTTTCTAGCACCTTTTGATCAGCTCCCTCTAAAGAGAAGTGCTGTCACAAGTATTGCTAAAAAACCTCAATGTGTCTGTAGTACTGTCCTAGAAATGATCATCAGCAACTCCTAGCACAGAGTGTTATGTCAGAAGTATTTTAGCCTGTGTAATAGACATTAGGTAGAAAAAAATCTATCTGAGAACAGTTTAAGCAAGCTGTAACAAGAACTAAGGCAGATTAAGCTACTGCACTAAATGAGGAAGAGATGCTCAATGAAATTGTATCCTGAGGACAACATGTGTCAGATGCAAATATATTATGCCTCTGAAGGCAAGCAGTGTGTTTTGTTTTGTTTTTTTTTTTTTAATTTTGTTTAAGTGTAATAAACAGTTGGTGTTGGTTTGACTATTCAGGGCTGATTATTGGAGAGGAAAAAAAAAAGGAATTTTAAAGTATCATAGGTAAAACTCAGCTATGTAGACCACAGAAGCTGTATCCTTGGAATGCATAGTCATTGTTGCTCTTGGGGTCTGCAGCAATGCCTGCCTGCAAGTAGCTGAAACAGTGGACAAAAAATTGACAAAATCTGGGCTTCTCTAAGCCATACCTGCGAATGAGACTGATGCAGACTGTCTGAAATCCCTTTTCCCCATAGCCCAAGTTGTTCCAAGCATACCGAACTGAACTTGGAAAGAACTCTTTCATTTGCAGGAACTGGAAAGGTGCTAGGTAAAGCTCTCATGAAAGTCAATGACTTTCTAGGCACGATGCTATGAAGTGCTTTAATTTTGAACCTGTGCATTGAAGTCTTTCCTTGCAAGCTGTTTTTTATTGATGCACATTTTGTAACTGAATGGGTTCAGTATCACAATGCAGTATCACTGTATTTGTTAAAAGAATCAATGTGTAAAAGTCCAATTTTGAACAAGGGAAGGCTGTAGCTGTGCATACATAATGGTTTGAAAGTCCAAGAATGTGAAGTCTGTTCTGACAGCAAGCGTTATTGTTCACTGGGTGATTAGTTGGCATTCTACCTTGCATGTACTACTTATTATTTTTAATGTTATAGTTACTACTAAATGTTCTCCTTATCACTGTTTCTGATGCCCTGCTAGTATGGCAAGCAGCTCTACAGACCACTTAAAATCTAAATTAATTTTCTGTGTTTTTTCTCCTTGATGTCAGCTTGTGTATCATAGTTAAAAAGAGGAAAAGAAAAGCCATGACAGCTTGTTTTCTACTACTTTGTACTGAATAGTGCTTAAAAAGTTTTACAGAAGGAATAAGACCACTTACAAAGCCTTTATGAAAACTTATTCCTTTATTTGTGCTTAATTTTTCTACTGGAATAGCTGTATCGGGAGGAGAGTTCAAAGTCTTAATTTTTAATGTCTTCTCCAACAGTAAGAATGCATCTCTCTGAATTTTGTGGAATTATTGTAATAACTTCATACCTTGTATAAAATTTCAGATTTTTGCCATTTTTATAACCTCTGCTAATGAAAATGTCCATTAAAGTGCCACGAATATTTTAAATACATATTCATGCTGCGCTTGAAATCCTGCACATCATTTTCTAAACTAAGCCATTAGCGTTGACAGATACTGTTATTTTGCAAATCTTCGCTTCAGCAATTTGTACATGTCAAATTTAACCACTGCACAATACCTATACAGAGCAATAAAACCATCTGAGTTTAGTGCTGTCTATACACTCAGCGCTCAGTCTCTCTTTTGATGGTTGATAACAATCATGCTGCTAGATATGTTTTTCACTGTATAATGCAGAACACAGGTCAGTATTGGTAAACCTGTTCTAATCGTGGCTTCTCAGAACACAAATCCATTAACCTGTAGCGATAACCCTGCTGCAAAGATTCAACGCAAACAATGCTGCACTATCAACGATAGAGTTCACGGCTGAACTGCATTGGAAAGGGCGTTCTGAATAAAGTTAAGAAAGTAATGTAGAAGAAAAGTTAATGAAATTTAAGATGAGTTGCCTGCTGTCAAGGTACAACAGCTTACTGGAGTTTCTACTCAGAGAAAGGCTAATTCTAATACTAATGTACGCATAGCCTAATTCAAGCAATATAGAGTACTTTTGCTTCTGAAGATGTTTTAGCAAATACTTTTACAGGTTGCTTCAGTGTCACTCAGTCCTGAAGAATTGAAGAGCCACTTCATCATCAAGAGCCATAGAATAATTCTGGCATGACAGATGATGGTGATGGCACAGCTGACATTATCATAACACATCGTCATAACTTTTGATGAAACATTCCACAGCAAACATCAGCTGGCTGTGGTGAAAATCTGCTTCGCTTCTTGTTCGACTCCACTTCTTGGAATATCTCATTTGATTAGTTTTTTTCCCCCCCTCTCTTAATTCTAGCATATGAGGATTCTCCCTATATATACATATGGCTTCTTGAAAGCAGATGAAACAGTTGCTTTTTGTCCTTAATTGGGTCTTCTGGCCTAAAGGGGTTGTTTCTCTGACACTTCGTCTTAGACTTACATGTGACATTATACCTCTTCCTATACGTAGATCATCTCTGGGGCTGTGCTGAGATTTCTCTCTCACTTTTGTTTTTTTTCAACAAGTTCCTTGAAAACTACCTGAGGCCTCTCTTTTTCATTGTTTAGCATTTTGATTTTTCTAGCTCCCAACCTTGGCAAAACAATTGTTTTAATCTTGTTAGAATCAGGCTTCATTCAGGAACTGAATTCAGTAAAATATTGAGAAGTCATTGTCATCTTGTAACCAGACTCTGTTTAGAGCAGTTTGTTTCATTATTAACTTGATAGTAATCTTTTAGAAGGAGTCACCTGAGACAAAGAGAATGAGTAGGTAACGGACATGTGGCTGATTTTGAGAACCACTGGCTCCACAAGCTGATCTTTCCAAGTTTTTCTATGTTGAGAATCAACTGTCTGCAGCAGCTGTAGACTGAACCACACGTGGAAACCACTTGTGATGGGTTTTTTAAATCTCTCTGTCATCGCAGAGACATTAGTTCATTCTTGAGAACAATCTGTTCATACAAAGAAAATGGCCAAGGCCTATGTTGTCAGTGAAGAATATGTGACAAACTTTGAACTTGGAATCAATGCAGAGGGCCCAAAATCTTCATAATTTCAGAGAAGCAAGTAAGAGAGAACCCGTTTTGTTCCTTCCAAAGAGAGGCTGTGTGTGTTGATAAAGGCATTTGCAGTCACCGATACTAATGCAGGTAATATTAATACGGCTTAGAAGTGGATTGGCTTGATTGAAACCTACTGCCACCAATGGCTTTCTTGGGAATTGTCCATTGTCTTCTAAAGCCTGATGAAAATGTTGCCAGGGATTGTTGTGTGATTGCTCAAATGCTGATGTAAGAACATATAATTATGATTGAAAAGCAGCTTAGATCAGCATTCCAGCTCATAGATGAGCATTCCTTATGTTGTGCAGGGGAGCACACCACCTTATCAGCGATTACTTAGTTACTACCTGTAATACGTTCTATAGTCGAGAAATTAACGTACCTATCACAAATAGACCTACACCAGGTCTTGATTTTAAATTGCACATCTGTTAATAATTTTTCTTGTCTGCACTTTTGGAAATGTTTTCAGTATTTCAACATCATTTCCGATACTTGTAGAACCCTGTAGAATAATAACAGAAAATAAGATGTTCTATGTTTTCCCTTGAAGTCAGATAAAATTTGAATGCTTTTAAAAATAAAAGTAAAAATTGTAGTGCTCTACATCCAACTTAGCATGAGTGAAGTATTTGTTCATGGAAGGACTCTGTTTACACTTAAAAGAAGCCTCTGGTCATTTGCTGGTGATCACAGTGAAATCCATCTTACCTCTCTGTATCATACGTGCATATTTTCTGTTTGGTTCTGCAGTCTTTACTTGCATTCAGCAATGTTTTCCTTGATGAGTAAGTCCCCGGCGTGCTGAGCAGCTGTACGGAACCACTCATGTAAGACCTGATCAACATGAAAAAGGGTTGAAGAACTTACTGCCTAAAAGAAATCTGTGTGGGTGTATTTTAATTGCTACATTACCATGACAGTCTACAATATTTATAATTCTAAAGACTCTTTTTAAAAAAGGAAAGCCAAGCGGCTTGTGTGCAATAGAAAAACACAGTCAATACATCAGATGTTTGTCAGACAAACGTTGTACATCTACCCTAATGAAGGTATTGCAATTGCATGAATGTCTGTGACAGTTTTAATGTCAAAAGCTTAACGCCTTTTGGTGCCTTCAGCCTTATTGATTTCCCTAAGTGATCATAAAGTTATAAACAGTCTTTCTAGGAGGTCTCTAAGAATCCTGTTAGGAGCTTTTTATTATGCTGGCAAATTCATATTGAATTGGTATTCATTTTCACTATTACAGAATAATCAAATCAGTGCTGTTATTATTATACTGTTGAAAAAGAAAATAATGGGGATGTAATGCAAAACTGCTAATGTGATGAAGCGCTCTGATTATGTCAGGTTAAGAACGCGATGGCTGCTTGTCGCAGCCCGCTTCGAGCAGCGACCGAGGGAGGAAACAGAGGGCGTTTCCTTCGTGGCAAGAGGGTTACGTACATTCTCATTGGAATGTGTGATTGTCTTTTGATGGCCGAAAGGGTGATTGCTTTGCCCGCTTGTGCTTCGTGCCAGGCTGTGGTGTTGGTTCAGGACTGTAGGAACACTACTGTTCCTGCTGTCACGTACGCAGTGCTGCGATCTCCTTTTTTAATCACAATTAGCATCTGGTGGTGCTCTCTCCAGAAGAAATGGCTCATATAGTCTTTTATGTTCATCCGAGCTCTTTTCCAAAAGGGAATAGAGCTTTTAGAGTACGTTGTTAGAAAGTACAATAAGCCCCCAGAAGGTTCAAGTCTGACAGGGATGTTAGGAGGCAGGTCAAGTGACTGCCTAATGAAGATGAATGGAGAAAATTGCTGGTACAAGGATCACGTGGTGGGCGCCTAGCCCAGGTTGCTGAAAGTGTGATGGAATCTCACGGCTTCATTTATCAGTGTCATATTTGGGCTAAAAGTGAGCAGTATTGTTCTCATTTCTTCCAGATGGATAGGTCAACTTTAATATTTATTGCTCTTGTAGAACATTTGTTTGATGTATTTCCATTAGCTAGGCAATAATAGAAAAGCAGTGGAGAGAAACATAAAACAGTTCCCTTCCTCTTCAGCTGAAATATGGCATACACTAATGTGTAAATATTTCTAAGACTGTCACTGATTTTATTTTTTTTTATTTGATGACATGATCATATATATTAAGGAGTTTCATAAAAATAATGGGAAAAACACATCAAGGAAACATGAAATATTTGACTTGGGGTGTGATTGTTAATCTTTTAACTTTTCATGAGCTTATAGTGCCTTTCAGGAGTGGCTTTCACTTAAGAATGTCAACTTGAGAGGGAGAGAGAAGACACAATAACGCTGTATTTGAATGACTGTTATAAGACTGCAAGTATTTTAGCAAAACCAACTTACAGATTTTGATTTCTTAAATGGAATATAAAGATGTTTATTTCTGTATTTTTTTTTTCATTTCTATCTTTTCTAATTACTTCTTCTATGATGGGAAAAGACCATTTAATCTGAGTGGATGTAAAATTTCAAATAAATAAAGAATCTAACCGCTATAAAATGGTGGCTTGTAGCTAATAGTGGTAACTCCTGGTTACTGTTTATTAACTGATTTTTCTTTCCCATCTATAGAAATTGGGTTCAAGGTGTTTGACATATATTATTTTATACTGTGGAAGGAAACTTAGCTGTTTGTGAAGCAGGTGTTGTGTTAAGTGCAGTGCAAACATCCTAGCCATATGTTTCTATAATTTAAATTAATTTGGTACAGTCATACTGTTAATCTTTAGTGACTTGTTGATTGGCATTTTGCAGACATATTTCTGGAAGGCACCCAATACCATTTTCTGTAGCCTTTCTGGCAGTAGCAGAGAGTAACATTTCCACAAATTGGAATCTTGTACAGCTCTGGGAAGTGAGCCAAGATTTAAATTAGACAATAACCTCTGCTCTGTATATAGCTTCTATTCTTCAGCTGT